CATTGGGCTCCCTGCTCAGCAGGGAGTCTGCTTCTCCCTCTGACCCTCTTCCCTCTCATGCTATCTCTCATTCTCTCCCTCTCAAATAAATAAATAAAATCTTTATAAAAAAAAAGAATATGACCTTCTTTGATTTTAGGCACTAATTGTATCACATTGATGAGGTAATCCTGGTTATCTGGTTATCTCAGGAGAAAATATACAAATTATTACTAAACTAAACTAAGCCATAATATACTTGGTAACTAAATCTTTTAAAACATACAGAATGAACACAAGAGGAGGGAACTTTGCTTTGTGACTCTGTGTAACTCCAATGCCTAGATTGAGGTCCTGGTATATAGTAGGTGCTCAATAGATATTTGTTAAATAAATGAATTGGGTCCACAGGAGGACAAAGAGCAAAAGGGTTCCTGGTAGTGAAAAGACTGGGAACCACTGATATAGTAGTATTAGCTTGCTGGGGCTACCTTAACAATGAACCACAAATTCAATTGTTACTGGTGGGAGAGAGTCTGCGTTGAGTGAATGGAGGTCTCTTGGATCCCCCACAAAAGATTTACATGAGGATCTGCACTCCAATAAAGACAGCCAGAAGGAGAAAAAAAAAAAAAAAAAAAGCCAGAAGGAAAGTAGGTAGCACAAAGCAGTTTTTTAAGGACAGTATACTCTCAAGGTGGGAGAGCAGGCAGGCCCAGAGGTGGCCACTGCACTGAGGCTAGGGGTCTCTTTTCTTTTTATGTTTGCATAGGTTATGGGTCATAGGTAGGGCAGAGTCTCCAACTGAGGTTGTGTCTGAACACCTAAGGAACTCCTCCTACCAGTTGGGAGGGGGAGTTTTTTGGCCCTACAAGGTTCTTGCTGGAACTGTCATGGCCATTTTCCTCCATGGGGGTGGGCATTGAAACCACAGTGTAAATATACTATAATGAAGCTATAGCTTACCCTGGGGGGTCGAGGTTGGAGAGGAGAGCGCAAGTTCTGCACCTGTAGCTCTTGGTCTGTCAGCCCAGGGGTGCTGGAAAGCCTTAACACCAGGATGTTAAAAGCCATAAAGTCAGGATGTTGTGCCCTCAGGCTTGTAATGTGTCATGTATTTGTCACCACCTTTGCCTCCAGCTCATGTCTAACTTACTCTATCAGAGTATCCAAATATCTTTTTATTAAGATGCCAGTCATATTAGATTAGGGGCCTAGCATACTCCAGCATGATTCAACTAATCCCATCTACAGCCCAATTCCTAAATAAGGTTCCATTCTGAGATACTGGGGGTTAGGAGTTCAACATAGGAATTGGGCTAGGGGCAGGGGAGACACAATTCAGCCCGTACCAGTAGTCTAAACTCCTTCTTGTACAAACGAGGAAATGGTGTTCCAGAGAGAGAAGGGACTTATCAGAAGTCACACATTCATCTAGTGGGGCCTAGTTCAAATCCTGCCTCCAGACCAGCACTTTCACACTCTCACATTAGCAGCCTGTGTGGCAGTTGTGTGATAACTCAGACAAGAACCATTCATAAATGAGATCTGATATGGGACAAAATGCATAGTTAATCTCATTTACATATTAGTGTTTGGGGTTTTTTAGTAAACTAAAGCTGTCATACCTCTTTTTGTTGCTGACTTCACACTCCACCAGCATTTACTGTGAGCTCACTGAGGTGAAGATAGAACTTTTAGAATAATTTCAATCTGTAAGAGAAAAAAAGAAATTAGCACTCTGGCCCCCCTAAACAAAGTCCTGCAACCTCCTACCTGTAGCAGCTGCTAAAGAACTGGAGGTCAGTGAAGCCCAAACAGCCGTTGCCATGGGAATGAAATGGCATGTTGGGGGCGTGGTCATGATGGAGGCAACCCTAAGGGGCGCCTCCTTTATTCCCTAAGAATCAGAAAATGATTCTTAAACAGCAAAAGGCCCGGTCTGGCCCTTTCAGTTCATTTGAGAAAACAGAGCTAAATATGGGTAGTGACTTGCCCCAGACTCACTGGATTAGTGACAAGATTTGAGAATTTATAGTTCTCAACTCTCGGTCCAGTGTTTTGTCCACTGTACCTATTGTCTTAAACCTCTGTACTGTAAACCCAGTGACATGGAAAGTGTACACCCAAAGTTGAGTTTGGCAGTATCCCCCAATTTGCTTTACTGACTCACACAGCAAACCCCCACACCCACAGCAGTCCTCCTTTGGGTAGCTGGTGGTGGGGTTGGATGGGAACGGCCATACTCGAAACACCAACTGGCACTTTCTGAAGCCAATCCTTGCACAGTGTGGCATTTTAAAAACTAAGCCACGAGGGAAATAGAAATAAGTTCCACCATACAACCAATAAAAGTCATCCTGAGAGAAAGGGGAGGATAAAGAGAGAGAGAGAGGGAGAGAGGGAGAGAAAGAAAGAGAAACTCTGGCTTCTTTATAATGTGGGATGCGATTTTTTTTTTTTCTAATACAAATTGGTAAAATATGCCCCCTGGTGAAAAAACTTAGTTCCACTTCTAGAAAGAATAAATAAGCGGTTTTGGCTGGGGGTTATTTTAGTAAAAACCTCTTCTTTCAGGAACCCCTGGGAAATGAAATGCAAGTTTTGTTGTTGTTTATTTGTTGCTGTCTCTTGCAACAGAAAATTAACTAATTTATTTAACAAACACTTATTAATGAAATGCAAGTTTTACTGAAGGATGACAATTTTTCTTTGAATCCAGCCTGTTTCCATTATTTCATCTGCATCTGCCTCTGGCCACCACCACGGCCCAAAACGGTGTGCCTGGTGCTTCAGTTTACAGTCTATTCACAATCTCTACAATTTATATACCATCTCCATTTCATAGGTGGAAAAACTGAGGCTAAGGGAAATTTTTTAAGTTGGGTGAAGGCCTCACAGCACCCCTTGTCTCCCAACTCTCAGGCTACCTCTCCCAACTCTATCATCTGCTGGAGAGCTAAGCTGGGATCGTAGAGCTAGTGAAGGGACTTGCCAATGAAGCCAGGGAATACTTGGAGTCCATGGAGGAAGACTATTGTCACCCAGCTGGCCCCACAGGATCTGAAGCTCCGGAGCTGACAACTGTAGAGCACTAAATGGAGCCCTGGGGTACCTTCTGGCAAAGGGAAAGTAGGCACTGGGGAACAGTGAAAGAGGCCCCACCACTTGCCAAGGGTGATACAAGGTCAGCCTAGGGGCTCAAAGCCCTGGCATATCACAGGGTTTGTTACTATGAAGGGAACCGCGGCCCATGAGGAGCGGCAGGGCACCTGTTGCCAGTGCTAAGGTGAAGGATCCTGGTCCAAGAGCTTTCCAGACAGGTCTGCCACCGCAAAGGCACCCTGAGGACTGACGGGACAG